TTGCCTTACCGGCCCGCTGAACCCGACTGGCTCTGTGGCTCTTGGGCTTGAGTGTTCTCCCCAGAGCTCCACCCCCCGAGGTGCCCCGGCCCCTGCCCCTGCATCGTGCCCCCAGGGATGGCGCGGAGCTTAGTCTGCCTCTGGAGCAGGCTGGGAGATGAGGGGGCTTGGCCTGGCCACCTCATTGGGGGAAGTTGTGGTGTAGTTTTGGTCTAATATGCGACGTGGCCGCCACCCCTGCATTCCACAGCCCTTTCGCTCCTGAGAGCGTCATGCGGCCGCAGGCTTCATCTCCCTGTGGGGGGTTCCGCCCGCCCGTGACCGCAGGCCCTTGCCAGGGCCCAGGGGGCATTTCTCAGCCAGTCACAGCTTTGGAGCCATTTCCCTCCAGCTCCTTTGTATCGGTCGTGGTGGTTTTCTCGGAAGCCCCTTTGTTTTGGCTGCTGCGTTGTCATGGGGCGGTACCCGACCCCAGCTTCCCGCTCCTGGCCCCTCGCCCATCAGCTCTGGAAAGGGCACGAATGAGAGAGGCAAACAAATCCAGTCAGGTTGTGACCTGAGGCCATCAAACGAACCCACGTGTGCCCTGGCAGTAGCTCTCGCCCTTGCCCTGGGCTCTTTCCAGGCTCCGTAAGACTGGGCAGAGCTGTGGGCATTTCTGAAGCCTCCAGCACAATGGGCACGAACCTGCTGCCAGGGTTGGGTGTCACCGGCATGTTCAGCCACATAGGCCGCTGAGTTCCTCTTCTATTGCCGAGGGACGGGGCCTGTTGGCTGTGAGTGCAGGCTCCTTATCACACACGCATCACCGGCAGCAGGGAAACTCCGGCTGCTGTGAGCTCCCCTTACTGAGGAAGAGGAGGGACAGGAAGAGACGTTCAGACAGGGGCGTCTTCTCTGTGCCCGGCAGGAATATCCGTGCTGTAGAAAGGGGAGTACTGCAAACGCGGGCGCAGGCCATGGGAGGGCTTGAGCGTGAAATCTGGCTCAGTTGGCTAAGTGCCGCCGCTGCGGAAGGACCTGAAGATGGGAGGGGCGGCTGCCAAGGAGGGACAAGGGGTTGCTGGGAAGGCCAAGAGATGAAAGGGTTGGAATGAAGAAAAGGGAAGTGTAGGCCGAGAATCGCCAACTACTGCCTAGCAACCAGCGCCCTCGGCCGGCAGCGTAGCCTTCTCATCCCGCCGCCGGGCTGGGAAGTGCAGACAGACTCGATGGCCTGCCCTGCGGGGGGACGAGACTCAGCTGAGCGGGGTCTGGTGGCCTCCTCTCCTGGGGTGATTTGCTAGCTCCGGATGGCAGCTGGCAGTCACGGCACAGAAAGGAGACGAGTGTCAGGTCTTGCTACTCTCACGGCCCTACAGCCACACCGCCCGAGCGCTTAGTGCAGAGCCGCCTCTGGCAGCACCGGGGCTTGTCCACAGAGCGCTGCCTCCCCAGGAGTTGGGCCACTGTGACTGTGCTGCTGAGGAGTGTGGAGTATCCATGTCTGGTGTAGGCCAGGGCTGTGTCCATCTTGCAGAGTGGGACCTGGCCCACTTGTGAATTGGCCAGGTATACTACAGTGAGCTCGGTCGCGCCCGTGCAGACAGGTGGCTGGCATGCCACTACGGTTTGTGGATCGCCAATGTTTGAATGTTTGTTTCCTGTTCAGCTTGGGAAGGAAGGCAGTCAGATGGACAGTCAAGCAGCCCTCAGAACTACACGTCCAGTTCCTCTCCCTCGGTTAAGACTGATCATTCCCTGCCGAGCCTGGGGAAGAAACCGTTCCAGAGATCTGACCGACTCCATGCAAGTAAGATACTTGGGTTTGGCACAAAATGGATATTGTTGTTCTAAAGCCAGAGTAAAAAGCAGAGGGGAAATGAAGCTCAGCTCGTTCCAGGCTTGGAGCAGTTTCTGGCCAGTCAGGGAAACTGCTCCTGGTCTTCAGCGGGAATTAGGGAAAATAAACCCCAGCTCAGGAACTCTGCCCACACAAACGTGCCCACGTTCAGCTCTTCTCACTGGGAAGCTTTTTGGCTCCTGTGTTCACAATCCTCTGTGCAACAGAAGCAGAAAAGCACTTGCGTTATTTAGCAGCCTTTTCCTTCTAGCGCTTAAGGTGTTTCATAGAATCATAGAATAATAGGACTGGAAGGGACCTCGAGAGGTCATCGAGTCCAGCCCCCCGCCCTCAAGGCAGGACCAAGCTCCATCTACACCATCCCTGACAGATGTCTATCTAACCTGTTCTTAAATATCTCCAGAGAGGGAGATTCCACCACCTCCCTTGGCAATTTATTCCAATATTTGACCACCCTGACAGTTAGGAATTTTTTCCTAATGTCCAATCTAAACCTCCCCTGCTGCACTTTAAGCCCATTACTCCTTGTCCTGTCCTCAGAAACCAAGAGGAACAAATTTTCTCCTTCCTCCTTGTGACACCCTTTTAGATATTTGAAAACCGCTATCATGTCCCCCCCTTAATCTTCTTTTTTCCAAACTAAACAAGCCCAGTTCATGAAGCCTGGCTTCATAGGTCATGTTCTCTAGACCTTTAATCATTCTTGTCGCTCTTCTCTGTACCCTTTCCAATTTCTCCACGTCTTTCTTGAAATGTGGCGCCCAGAACTGGACACAGTTCTCCAGCTGAGGCCTAACTAGTGCAGAGTAGAGCGGCAGAATGACTTCACGAGTTTTGCTTACAACACACCTGTTGATACAACCTAGAATCATATTTGCTTTTTTGGCAACAGCATCACACTGTTGACTCATATTCAACTTGTGGTCCACTATGACCCCTAGATCCCTTTCTGCCATGCTCCTTCCTAGACAGTCGCTTCCCATCTTGTATGTATGGAACTGATTGTTCCTTCCTAAGTGGAGCACTTTGCATTTCTCTTTATTAAACCTCATCCTGTTTACCTCTGACCATTTCTCTAACTTGCTACGGTCATTTTGAATTATGTCCCTATCCTCCAAAGAAGTCGCAACCCCACCCAGTTTGGTATCATCTGCAAACTTAATAAGCGTACTCTCTATCCCAATATCTACATCAATGATGAAGATATTGAACAGTACGGGTCCCAAAACAGACCCTTGAGGAACTCCACTTGTTATCCCTTTCCAGCAGGATTTAGAACCGTTAACAACAACTCTCTGACTACGGTTATCCAGCCAATTATGCACCCACCTTATCGTGGCCCTATCTAAGTTATATTTGCCTAGTTTATCAATAAGAATATCATGCGAGACCGTATCAAATGCCTTACTAAAGTCTAGGTATATGACATCCACCGCTTCTCCCTTATCCACAAGGCTCGTTATCCTATCACAGAAAGCTATCAGATTAGTTTGGCATGACTTGTTCTTCACAAACCCATGCTGGCTATTCCCTATCACTTTATTACCTTCCAAGTGTTTGCATAGGATTTCCTTAATTACCTGCTCCATTATCTTCCCTGGGACAGACGTTAAACTGACCGGTCTATAGTTTCCTGGGTTGTTCTTATTCCCCTTTTTATAGATGGGCACAATATTTGCCCTTTTCCAGTCTTCTGGAATCTCCCCTGTCTGCCATGATTTTTCAGAGATCATAGCTAAAGGCTCAGATACCTCCTCTATCAGCTCCTTGAGTATCCTGGGATGTATTTCATCAGGACCTGGTGACTTGCTGACATCTACCTTTCCTAAGTGATTTTTAACTTGTTCTTTGTGTATCCTATCTTCTAAACTTACCCTCTCTCTGCTTGTATTCACTACGTTAGGCACACCTCCAGACTTCTCGGTGAAGACCGAAACAAAGAAGTCATTGAGCATCTCCGCCATTTCCAAGTTTCCTGTTACTGCTTCTCCCTCCTCACTAAGCAGTGAGGTTTGTTACCTTACAATCCAAAAGCAAAACTAAAGCCCATCCGTCCAGCCCGAGTGCTGCTTAGTTTCCTGCCAGGTTTTTAAAATTGAACATTTCTCAATTCCCGTTTGTTGCTTGTGGTTGGTTTGACGGATGCTTGGAGTTGAACTGAAACCTCATGATGGTCTATGTAGGCCAGGGGAGTAGGGAAGCCATGTGCCCAGCTCCATCGCCTTCATGGCCGAAAGGGCATCCTCTGGGAACCGTGTTTGTTGGCTGAGTAGCCTTGTGCTGGATTCTTCCATCCGTTCCCCATTCAGAGTCCTCTACGTCCCCTTCGACCTTGCGTGGCAGTGACCCACGCTCGGTCTGCTAACGCCTGCCTGTGACTCTGTCAGTAGAGCCCTGCAAATCCGGGGACACCAGCTCTCCATCTGTACCCCACTTTCTATCTGTGCAGGGCTCTGCCCCTCAGGACTGCATGGTTAGTCACTTGGACACCACCCCCTCACATAGTGCACGGGTGCCCCACCACACACATCACCCCCGCAGCTGGCCATCGGGGCATCTTCCTTTGCTGCTGCCCTCCCACTGGGCCAGGCCTTTTGCAGTTAAGGGACTTGGTTCTGGGAAGGTACCGTAGCCCTGCAGGTGGTGGGCTCTTAGGCCTGTTCTGCAGCTACTGCACCATCCAGCACTGAAATTCATTGAATTGAAAATGTCAGGGGAAAGGAGTGAGCAGAGCAGAGTCATTTATTGCTTGTAGCCCGGCTCCTTGGGCACGTGCATGTGCCAGCACGGCCGGCGAGAGAGGTGCAGCACAGCGAGCTGGAGAGCCGCTCTGCATTGCAGGCCCAGCTTGCTCTGCAGGACCATGAAATCGTGCAACCCCCCGAGGAGTTTTCGAAAGGGGCTCTGTGTGTACGTGTCACCTTTCCCCAATGGAACCAGTTCCCAGGGAGTTGCTCTGTGGGAAACAGTGATCTGAAAATGGTCATCCTGACCCCCTGCTCCAGCAGAGCTTGGGACGGAATCTTCATTAGGGATTTTATGAATTATACATTTGTAGTTGAAGTTCACCGCCCACAGTGGCACGTCGCTACCAGTGTGAGAGACGAGTCCAGAGGGAACGGTGTGCACAGAACAGGTGCTCTTCCCAGTCAGGCTGTTTCTGGAATTGCAGTGCTCATGTGAAATACTCTGTAGCACGGGGCTTGGTGCTGAAACTGCAGGCCTAGTGGTTAGGACCTTTTCCATGGGGGGAAAGGGAAGAGAAGGGAACAGTTTTTCATTCTTACTGCTTTGTCTAGCATTGTGGTGTCAGCACAAACAGAACTGGCTGATGCAAACTGTGTACGAGATACTGATTTTTTCTGAATCACTTCTGCTTTTGCTGAGTGCAGAATACAAATGAGCCAGCAAGAAATCCAAAGGAAGAAGCTGCCCCGGCCACAGGATTAAAATAGAAAATTAAAGCACGCTTGTGGAAAAATCCTCCTGTGGGACCCTGCTGCAGCACAGGGAGGGTCTGCTGTCTTGTTACCTGGGCATCCGAGGCCCTGGCAAAGCGAGGCAAGTCTGGGCAAAGCAGAATATTAGGGATGAATATTTTCCTGGGGGCTGAGGGACATTCACAGCCCCAGGGAGCCACATGTTGTGTTTTCACTCTAGCTCCCAGGGCTCCACATGATGCTAGCAGAAGGGTAGATACCTGTCAGCTCTGCTCCTGCCTTAGCCAAGGGGCTTCCTGCTCCCTCCCTTCCAGGGTTTGAAAACAGCCATCGAAACTGCATTATGAATGTCTCTTTAGGTAACCATGAACGAAGTGAAGAGTGGCTCAGAGGCCAGGGGCTCGTGCCTCAAGTGAGGTGTTAAGCAGAGCTCTGTGCTTCCTTACAGGGCAGCTGAAGAGGACGAAATGTGCTGAAATAGATGTGGAAACGCCTGACTCCATCCTAGTGAACACAAATCTGCGGGCGCTGATCAACAAGCACACGTTCTCAGTTTTACCTGCCGACTGTCAGCAGCGCCTGCTGCTGCTGCTCCCAGAGGTGGACAGGCAGGTATGTCACATGCCCTGTTATGCAGAGGAGCTGTTTTCCCATGTTACAAGCTACAGAGGCTCCAAGAATTGTTCCCCTTACTGAGGCAGGCTTCATACCCAGCACTTGCCAAGTTCCTGAGATACGGGTGGCCAAACCTCCAGTTTCAGACCATGAACTGGGATGGTGTGTTTTCATCCACATACAACGCCATGTGGAAAAGCCATGGAGTGTTGGGTATTGATGGGTACCAGAGGCGATGGACCGATCGTTCTCGCCCATATGGTGAACCCTATCTTCCTCATAGTAGTGAGAGCAGTGGATTTTGCTGTAGTGGCGTGGACATGCTAGATGCAGAGAGTGTAGACTGCCAGCTTTCCCCCTGGATCTGCATTCTTATCCCCATAGCCTTTTAGTAGAGCTGCCTTACCAGATCGTCTCTAAAACAACTGTTACACTAGCCCAGTCCCCTATGGTGTGAGGAGCGTCATGTTAGCACTCTTGTATGCAGAGTCAGGTGAAACGACACATGAGTTGAATAGCACTCTAGCCATGCCTCTGCACACTGCTTGACGTTGAAAGGAGGAGGTGTTAATGAATTGTCAACTCGGAGGAAGAGGCTGTCACTTCTTCACAAAGTCTCTGTTCTAAACTGGAACAACAGAACACCCAATGTAGTGCTGTGTGCAGAGCAGATTTCTAATGCTTTGTGGATTACAAATGCAAGGCCTCTTGAAAGAGTTTTGTGTTGAAAAAAGATCTGAAAACATGAGGGCAATTAAGCGCATAAGAAGAGAGCGGTAATCCCATAAATACGGGCAGAACAGTAGTTAAGAAATTAGGGATCTGAGTGGGAGAAGGATACAAAGGAGGCATGAGCGAAGCAGTTGAAGGAGTAAGTAGGAAATGAAGGAACATGGGCAACGTTCCACAGAATCTTGATGGTGAAGATGAATATTATTTAGGGTTGCTGATTAATCAGTTAATTCATGTTCTTTCTCTTTGTTCTTGTAGCCTAAGCTTGTAGCCTAAGCAATAGGCTTGTAGCCTAAGCCTATTGCTGTCTCCCAGGCACAGACATGTAAAATACAAGTACAGAGCCCATAGTCATAACTTCTCATACATGCATGATTTTTGTATGTATAGCAAAACAGAATCAGCAGAGCATAAGCTTATTTTAGATACCTCATGTGACCCACTTTGCACAGAATTTGGGGCATGCAACCCCCAGTGCATGCAACAATGATCTGCATTTTCCTATTACAATCCAGTAATGTCATACCCGGTAAGAGTGATGCTCGGTTACCCTACCCAGCACGATCTGCATTTTCCTATTACAATCCAGTAATGTCACACCCGGTAAGAGTGATGCTTGGTTACCCTACCCTGCATATGTTTGTGTTAAGAACGCAGCAAAGTTGACAAAAGGCAAAGATGCACCAGTGTGGGACTTCCAAAAGTAGCTAAAGCACTAAACCCAAGGCTTAAGAGAGAAGGTTTAAGGTGAAAAGAGTTTGCAGAGGAATATGTTGAGATGGGTGAGATGAGCTTTGCCCCAGGAATGGATAAAGGTTTTGTGGCTGAATGGAGAGGAAAGAACTGTAAAGCATGAGTTCTCAACATTTTTCATACTAAGTCTCCCCTCTTTCTCTTTCCAGAACCCTTCCTTCCATCTAACTGTATGAGGAAGATAGGGTGGGTTCAATACCCTGGCAACCCTAGATGGAGAGGTGGTTACAGCCATAGTTGGTTTAAATTGTTCAGCCAAAACTTTTTTCAGTGAAAAATACAGATATGGTGCCTCTCATAGCTCAGTTCCCCAACCTGACACTTCGAGTGTAGATATGGGGGCTGGTTAGCAGAATAAACTCTATAAGAACCTGTCTCTGTAACTCCCCAGAGACAAACTTGTCCGGTCTCAGTTTCTCTGAAACCCAAAAGGAAGACGATCGGTCATTACCACCACCCAAGTGAAGTTAAAAATATATGTAAAATAAACCCTTCTCCAGGGAAGAGATCACTTGAGAATCCCCTCCCTAAGGCAAAGCTCTCCCCCTGCCCCAACCTCCATTTTGCTTGGAGTTGGGAAAACAAACGGAATGCACAGAGAACAATGGGGCTCTGCTCCTCCCAGGTAACTTAGGCACATAGGCAGAACAATCGACCAATACCGGTTAATCAAAGCAAAAAGGAAAACACTTTTATTACCAAAACAAGACTACTGTTGCAAGCATAGCAAATGACTTGGTGTTAAATAGCCATGGAGTGAAATAGACTCATGGGTTATCCCTGGGTTGTAATCTTTAATTACAAAAGAGAAAAACAATTAACCAGCTCAGATATGATTTCCAAACCGCCAGACAAGGAAAACAAAACCTTGATGGACTATCTAAACTTTTCCCTACTTACACATTTCAAGGAGTCCATTCCTAGGAGAGCCTGACTCCCTTGTTACCTGGGGGAAAAAACTGATCAGATCTCCCAACAAAAGGAGAAAGGAAAAAACCCTCTCTTGGTTTGAAATTCCTATCTGCGTTTCATTGGCTGAATGCCTGAAGCCCCCTCTTTCAGGTGCATTTCCAGAGGTGCTTAACCGTTTCCTCACTCTTCAGGTAAGTCAGACTCTCCTTAGCAGCTCCTATTCATGACCGTGATACTGAACCAAATCCTAGATTCCAAGGCTACAGAGGACCATTTTGATCATCTAGTCTGATCTAGTGAAACCAGACAGATCAAAGTAACACAGGTCAGAGAGCTGCCCAAATAATTCCTAGAGCAGAGCTTTTGGAAGTCATCACATTTTGATGTAAAAATTGTAAGTGATAGTGTCTCCACCACAACCCTTTGTGAATTCACGTTTGTTTCAATGAATTTTTCACAGGAGGGGAAGAAACAATAAACATTCTCCTTGACAGCTTGCTCACCTCAGTTTCACGCTAGGTGTGCATGTGTCGTGCACTATTTCTGGAGATTTTTTTCCTGATTGGTATCCATCAGGTCAGTATAGCGTCCTCTGGTGCTGCATATTTATACACCAATTTAAGGGTCTCTACTCTGTGCCTTCTCAGTTCCTTCATATTGCCCATGATTGCTTCTGGAACAATTCCTCTTGCTTCAGCCAGGCATTTTCAGTGGCTTTTCTCTCTGGATGAGATGATTAGGCTTAGAATAGTTGTAATCTAAATATCACTAATGCAGCCAGTTAAACCCCCTTCCCTTATTATCGAGGGGCTCCCTTTGCCATTGCAGCCGTGGACTTCAGACCTTGTGCCTCCTCTGGCAGGCTTATGCCCAAGAGCACATTCCAGTTACCTTGAAAGATTAACCAGTTAGCTGGTAAATGGTAAGCATCATGCTTAATGGGTGGTGCCCACAGGTTCCAGTTAACTGGTGGGGGCTGGAGCAGCTCCCCACACGCTGCAGGCCTGAGGCCTGCTCCAACCCCATGGGGCCCACTGCAGGCAGGGGCACCCTAGCCCAGCCAGAGCAGCCCCTGTCCATAGTTGGCCTGAGCGTATCACAGGCCGGGGCTGAAGTGCCCCCTCCTCTTTAATCGGTTAACCAGTTAAATGTCAACGCAAGAGGGATGCGCGTGCTGATTGTTCCCCTCGAGTAACCATTACTCTCACTGGGCTTGACAGTAAACACAAGTGTTTTTATTCAGTACAAACAGCAGGATTTAAGTGTTTGCAAGTGAAATCAGACGGATCAAAGTAGGTTACAAAATTAAAGCGAGGAGAAAATGCATAGCTAGTTCTCGTACACGAAGACGTGTTGTAAACCGATCCTTTCAGGCAAGCTTTCAAGTCAGAGATGACCTTGGGTCTCGGGTTGTCCTATGTTCCCCAGCCAGCAACAAAGGGACTGCTTAAATGGCTTCCCAGTGCTTAAATAGATTATTTTTCTTGGGTGGGAATCTTTTGTTCTACATCTTCCGCTCCATGGAAAATGACCTGCTCAAACTAGTATCCCAGTACAAGGTCACATGCAGCGATGGATATAGGGCAGGGCAAGTGGGGCGGCTGGCCCGGGCCTCGCGCTTCAATAGGCCCCGCACACATACTACTGCCTGTTGGCTGTGGCCGTGGCGCATGCACAAAATTGTGCTGCCCTGGGCCCCACAAAACTCTACTCCGCCCCGGTCACATGTCTGTCTAGGATCAACCACGGCTGAGATTTAAAGGACAAACAAGGCTGTTCACAAGTCGTTAAGGCTTCCAAAGCACCATTCATAGCTCTTGTTAGTACATTAAAAACACAAGTGATACACACACCAAATATGATACACGGATCCAGCAGATTGCAATATTAAAAATTATGAGTTCCATGAGGTATTTTGTCCAAAGTCTCTTCAAGTTATGCATATTTATATTCATAAGCCAATTTCATGAAGTATGAGTGGGGAGAACTGTCAGAGTGTCAATAATATATTTTCTGTCTTTATTTGTTTATCTCCTCATGGACTTGAGCATTCTGTTAGCTATCTGACTGCCTCTGCACACTGAGCAAATGTTTTCAGAGAGCTGTCTCCATTAACTGCAAGATCTTTCTCCATTGGTAACACCTCGTTTAGCCCTCCTCATTGTATATGTATAATTGGGATTGTTCTCCACTGTGCATTGCTTTACACTTACCGATATTGAATTTCATCTACAATTGTATTGTCCGCTCAGCAGTTGTGTGAGATCCCTTTATAACTCTTTGCTGTCAGAATGATCTTGAGTAATTTGTATCACTGCCAATTTTGTCACCTTGTTGTTTACCTTCTTTTCCAAATCCTTTGAGTATGTTAAACAGTACTGCTCCCAGTATAGATCCTTGGGGCACTCTGCGGTTTACTTTTCTTCAAGGTGAAAACTGGCCATTTAGTCTTTTGCTTCATTTCCAATCTTATAACCAGTTACTTCTATGAGAGGACTTTTCCTCTTATCCAATGACTGCTTATTTTCTGAAGCGCCTTTGATGAGGGACCTTGTCACAGGTTCTTGGAAGTCCAGTGCTCTGTATGCATAGGATTGCCCTTGTCCATGTTTTTTACTCCCTCAGAGAATTCTAAGTAGGGATGTAAAATCACATTGAATTAGTTAACCTCTGCTAAATGCTATTTTGTAACTTTCTCCAGCAGTGTTTACAAATCAGTATCTCTGAGTTCTAGACCAGCGTTTCCCAAAGTGTGGTCCACGGCCCAGTACTGGTCCTTAGAAAAAAAAAAATACTGGTCCTTAGAAAAATTATCGCGCATGATTCTATTAATTTGTGTGATGGGGCAGCAGCACAGCCCGCTTGGGAGAGAGCCCGCTGCCATGGCAACTCTGCTGGGCATGCTCCCTGGCAGCGGGACTAGATCTGGCGGGTGCTAGGACCCAGGGAGAAGGCCGGGTGCAACGATGCAGAACGCCCAGCGCCAGACACAGCCAAGGGAGCCAGCGCCAGCCGATAAAGTGGCTGGGATTGGGGGTAGCAGAACAACCCGCCAGACAGATAGGGGCAGCGACACAATTTATTTGCATATTCATAATTTTCTTAGTAAATATGCAAATAAATTTTACCTGTCCTCCAAAAGCTTGTGAATGGGTTTACTGGTCCACAGTATCAAAAAGATTGGGAACCACTGTTCTCGACTACTACATTTCAGATAATACTGTAGCAATTTTCTTCCTCTAGCTCAAGCTCCAAAAGCACAGCACTGGGACTGCATCAAGGAACCCTCTCTACACCTGTCTGGGTAGAAAGCCATTGGGGCTCTCTACTCTAGACTGCAGACCAACCTAAACACTCTGCCTTTGAGGTGCTCGACAGGGCAAGAACAATAGTCAGGGGGCTGCTGCTGGCATGACTCGTGGGGAAAAAGCTAGTTTCCGTTAAGCTCTTGAGAATTTCTGGCCTAGCAAACTGCACATTTTCCTGCTGGCAGCCCCGTCAGAGATTTCTCCTGCCCTGCAATCCTTCTCTTCCTGCAGTGTGATCCTGTTTTACTAAGAGCTATAGCTTGTGCAGTCTAGTGCACTGCCAAGTCATGGTGCTTTCTGAATCAGAATTTGATGGGGAGAGTTCTGTGTCATTGAAGAAATGTCTGACCCCGATGATGGATTCTAGATTTCAGATAATACTGTAGCAATTTTCTTACAACTACCCACTCCTCTCAGTGCTGTTTTGCTACTCGGAGTATTTGTAGGCTCTGTAAACTGGAGAAGAAAAGTTTTAGAGTAGAGTGGGGGCAGGGCCTTCTGAT